ATACACCAAACACACCAACCATACCCTATATACACCAAACACACCAACCATACCCTATATACACCAAACACACCAACCATACCCTATTTACACCAAACACACCAACCATACCCTATTTACACCAAACACACCAACTACACCCTATATACACCAAACACACCAACCATACCCTATTTACACCAAACACACCATCTACACCCTATATACACCAAACACACCAACCATACCCTATTTACACCAAACACACCATCTACACCCTATATACACCAAACACACCAACCATACCCTATTTACACCAAACACACCATCTACACCTTACATACACCAATCATGTTGTGGAGATACATGACTAACTCACTTTTCGCTCAAAGACCCACACGGCACGTTCCTGCTGCTCCAGAATCGAGTCCTTCACGTTGCCGTACCACGCATCATTGGCAGCATTAAGATCAATGATATCTGTGGAAACAAGCAAATAGGAATGAGAGGCAGCCAGACCATCATGAGGTCTGTGACTGGCAGGTAGGATGTGCACCAACCGGTGAAGAGGTGTGAGCAGGTCTTCCTCAGCTTCACCGCCTGCTCATAGAGCTTGCGGGCACTGCGATTGGAGCCAGGCATCAGTCTCTGGCGCATCGTCTTAACAGCCTGCTTGGTCTCGGGGTTGAAGAAGATCACAATCGGGTACCACTGCGTGTAGTTAAGCGTGTCCACGGCCTTGGGGGTGACGTCCAGCAGGGCGTGCCGGTTCTGCACGCAGAGGGAAAATCAGCAGGTCTGCAGTGCTCCCATGTGTACACAGCAATTCCAACAGGGATGTGAAAGGTGCACCTGTTCGATGATCTGCCGAATGGTGTTCAGCTTCACCACGCCCGATGACTTCTCTGACCCGGCATCCTTGGGCTCGGTTTCTGGAGAAACACACGGACGTGAAGATGTGCTTCCTCCCTTCTTACATGATGCTGAGAAAAGGTTCTCCACTCACTTGCAATGGCAAACTGATCTGGAAGATCTGAGGCCAGCTTCTCAATGGCAGCGTCAGCAATGGGCCCAAACAGCACCACGGGACGTTTAAAACCAGCTGGAAAAAAGCAGACGGGCAGCCTTCAAAAGCCTTGAAGAGTATGGAAGAGTATGGAAGAGTATGGAAGAGTATGGAAGAGTGCGTAGAGTGCCAGGCGGCACAGAAAGGCTAGGGGAGATCGGGAGGTCCAGCACTGCACAGTGCAGGCTGGTGTGGACAACCTCCCAGTAGGACTCACCCTCGCGTAACACCACTCTTTCGTAAGCGGGGAAGCGTGTGGAAACAACCGGAGCACTGAGGTCCTCGCGGCTCTTCCGGAGATCCTTCTTCTTCGCTGCCCTCTGACCTCGCAGCCTCCAGAAGTCCCCGCGGTCATTGCCCAGTCCCCTCTGGGCATTCTGCACATTGGCCAGCTGATCTGCCCTGTGGGTTATGACACACCAGAGAGCGCTAGAACTATCCGAGTAGCGATACACCCAACACACACAGGCACTTGACCACACACAGCTCACCCGCAGACTCACGGCCACACACAGTGGTGCACACACGCACCTGCTTTTGCTGGGAATTATGCCCCTGTCCAGGGGCTCATTGTCCCTGCCCAAGCGAATGGCCAGCCAGTTTCCCAGTTTGCCATTATACAGGGTGTCCATCACCTTGAAGATCTCCCCCCTGCTGAAGGCCAGGCTGTGAGGAGAATCCTTCTCAAATTCAAAATGTGTCCTGATGTAGAACAAGTCCCCTCTATCAGAGTCTATGATCTCCTGGTAAACTGTAGCAGAGCAGAGAAACAAAGAATTTCCTCATAAAGACATGGACGGTCCAGCAATGAGCATGGAAACGTGGTACCTGCATACGCACACACTCAGTGACCACAGAACCTGCATACGCACACACTCAGTGACCACAGAACCTGCATACACACATATTCAGTGACCACAGAACCTGCATACACACACACTCAGTGACCACAGATCCTGCATACGCACATACTCAGTGACCACAGATCCTGCATACGCACATACTCAGTGACCACAGAACCTGCATACGCACACACTCAGTGACCACAGAACACGGCACCTGCATATACGCACATTCGGCTCACATAATTTGATGTTATGTATTTTTTCATTAAAACGAATCCATAAGAGGCCATGCACCCGGTAACATGAATAGATTTTTCCTGTAAAGATGTGTACCGTCAGGCTTGCTTTGGGCCAGGATGGTAACGGTCTCGCCCCTGGGGATCTCCAGCAGGTACAAGACGGCTTCTTCCCGCACCATCCCCCGGAAGTCCATGCTGTTCACCTGCAAAGCGAGCAAACAAATCACACACAGACACTGGAACCGTCCCACGGCCGCAGGAATCGCAGGCACTGAATGTTCTCCATTATGCAGCTATGTCCATTCATACACATCACAGCTGCTCCCACTACCCTCCCTGGAGTGTATAAGTGTGATCATGCTCCACCCTCCCATGAGGTACCTTCAGTATCTGATCCCCAGTTCGGAGACCCTCCCTCTCCGCAGCGCTGTCCTCCTGCACGCCGGCAACGAAGATGCCCACGTCGCTGCCTCCTGCGAGACGTAGCCCTACGCTGTCGGCCTTCTGGAACTGCACCACCACTGTGTTTGGGCTGAAAAACCAACACACTGCAATGTTCCTCTCAGCGAGCACTGGGTGCTCAGGAGAGCATTTTCAGTCTTGTGTTGGGTTAGTAACATGCAACTTATAAACTGGTGTTCCACATTCACCAATATATTTGACCTAAGCCTCACGAAAAAACCCAGAACTCCTTCACACAGCACATTCCACGTGATACACTGGCTTCATCCTTACTGTCCCAGATATGCAGATCTTATAGATCATACACCTCTCCCCATTGCAGATATACAGATCATACACCTCTCCCCATTGCAGATATACAGATCATACACCTCTCCCCATTGCAGATATACAGATCATACACCTCTCCTTTTCAGAGTTTACCGCCAACTCTTCTACTGCAGAGCCCTTTTCAGTACAAATGTCTACAGTTTATTTATTTACCCGTATGTTTCCTCATCCTCTGCACTTGGGTGGAGCTCCATCTTTGTTGAACTGCTGACCACTGGTGCAACTGCCATAACTGGCACTGGAAAACAAGTTAAGTATACTGGGAGAACTGGAGAAGGAGCCAGTACAGCTTTAACCTTACTGCGTATCGTGTAATGCTGTAAGAGGAGGGCACCGGAAGCCCCTCGGTTACCGGCAGGCTCTGCCACTCGTGTCTCCTCCTTGTCAGGCGGCTCGCTGGGCTGCTGCTCCAGTGCCCTGAACGGGGTCGGCTGTGCACCCATCTTGGCCAGCCGGCCGGGGGGGTCCTCCCTGGGGTCAGTGTAAATGTTCAAATTTACAAATAGCCTTTAACAGCTCTGATCTTCCCCAGACCCCCAGCAGGGATCAGAGATTGACAGCATTTCAGGCACAAAGAGGGCGGCATTTCCCTGTACCTGGGCTTCTCGCGCAGTTTCTCGTTGGACGAGTGTGAGGAGATGTCAGAGTGAGCAGCGCCGCGCTCCTCCTGAGGGGAGTAGGAGCGATACGACTCGATCTCCGAAATGTCTGCAGCCAACAGGAAAAGGGAGCAGAGGTACAGGAAACTGTAGATTGCCCTCTTCATTCTCAACAATGCTGATCTGGCCCACAACAGTAAAGAGGCTGGGATCCTCCACATTCCCACCCCCACCCTTTCCCATAGGAGCCAATGAGAGGACACCAACAAAGCCCCCCCCCACAAGGGACAAACCAGAACAATTCACAAAAAGGCATTTTCTTCATAACAAGTCTAACTTGACAGAAAATACCATCTGTGTATCCCATAAGGGAGAAAAGGCAAACTTAATTTCACATACAGTTGCAATAAGATATATTCAACCCCCTCATCTCTAAAGACAATGATGTGAATTGAGGTTAATGAAAATAAGCCACATTAAACAACAAAAAAATGCTTATTGATGCATATTTGAGTTATTTTGAGAAGATAAGATGGACTTCACTTTCACAAAGTCTTTTCACCAATGTTCACGAGCACTATTATTCAACCTCCAGCTTCAGTACTTTGTGCAGCATCTTATAGCTGCTGAAAGGCATCGTCAATAAGCACTGACAAGCTTCCTCCACCTCCTTGTTAGAACCAATGCCTGTTGTTCATTGATGTTTTCAGTGGGATTTAAATCCGGGAACTGAGAAGGACATTCCAGAACATTCCAGGATCTAGGTTAGCTTGGAGGTGTGCTTGAAATCATTGTCTTTTTGGAGAGTCCAATCATCATCAAGGTTCAATTTCCCAACAGACAGCATCATGTTGCTCTTTAAAATGGCATTTTCATAGGATACAACACCCCCAGGGTCCTCAGACTGAGCACAGGTGCCCCCCAGGGCTGTGTGCTCAGCTCACTGCTGTTTTCTCTGCAGATGCATGACTGTGCTGCCCAGTCAAATTCACAGATGACACAGCAGTGGAAGGACTAATCAGTGACAATGATGAGACTGCATAGGGAGGTCACATCCTTGCCGTATGACGTCAACGTCCGGCAGAGGTTACCGTCGGGCTCCGAGTCGCTGTCGGCCAGGTGCGGGATGCGGAGCAGGAGCTGCCGGCGGTCCCTCTGAACCAGCAGCCGCAGCTGCCCGCGGGACCTCTCCACCAGCTTGCCGGCGTCACCCAGGGACAGGTTCTCCGTCACCGTGCCGTTAATCTGCCAGGGGAAGCAGGGGGAGGACCACACAAAAACCAAAGTCATCCAAAGCTATCAGTATCCACACTTGATCACTCAGCCCCCCCCCCCCCAACCCTGAAAGCCAAAGGGGAGGAGTCAGGGACAGGTGGTGGGGGTGGGGTGGGGCAGAGCCCACTATACAATTACAGTGCATGGGTCAGTTTGGGGGGAGGGGGGTTCAGGAAAGGTGTGGGGTAGAGCCCACTGTACAATTACAGTGCATGGGTCAGTTTGGGGGGAGGGGGGTTCAGGAAAGGTGTGGGGTAGAGCCCACTGTACAATTACAGTGTGCAGGTCAGTTTGGGAGGAGGGTGGTTCAGGAAAGGTGTGGGGTAGAGAAGGCAACAACAGCTATAGCTAGAAGGCATTAAAAATTTCAAAAAGTTTTCCAGTGCCTGGCCGATTAGAGATTGTTCTACAGTTATTAGAATCAGAAGGGTCAAGACCAGTTTTACTGGAGTGACTGCTGCAAGTTTTAAATCAAATGGGGCAATACCATGACAAATATGGCATTGCGGCATCCTCAACGTTAATGTGTAACTTTATAAAAGGCTGTAAGCCTATGTGTCCCTTCAGAGCTGACACTCTGGATGTGATATTGCCATACCTTTAAGATGATGTCACCTTCCTGCAGAGCACCATCCCTGCTGGCTAGACCAGTACTGGTCATCTCTTTGATAAAGATCTGACTCCCCAGCCGAAGCCCGTACTCTATAAGTGAAGGAGATTAAGGTTAGACTGATTTTTCTTAAGGAGATACCCAGCTTCTTGCTTATGATTTGCTCTCAGGGACAAAGAGAAAACGGTCATACAGTAGAGGTCACAGCTAGACCTTATTCAAAGGTCCAACAGCAAGTTCCCACCCAGCACATGCAGCTTGCGTACCTTCATTTGGTCGATTCTTCAGCAGGACGACATTTAATGGTTTCTCCAGTTGCTCATGGACACGGCTGTGGCTTGGCGAGGGGGAGGGGGCCTGCAGCTGGTCTCTACTTCTGCTCCTCATCAGTCGTTCTTCTGGGCGGGGCGAAGGGGAGCGGGCCTGCAGCTGGTCTCTACTTCTGCTCCTCATCAGTCGTTCTTCTGGGCGGGGCGAGGGGGCCTGAAGCTGATCTCTACTTCTGCTCCTCATCAGTCGTTCTTCTGGGCGGGGCTCATAAGACTTGCGGTCGAGCTCTCGCTCGTAGCTGGGGTCACGGCTGCGGGCCGGGCTTTGACCGCGTTCCAGGGCCCGGCCCCTGCTGTGGTCTCTCCTATAAGGCCCCTCGGGGCTGGCTTCTCTGTCTAAAGAGCGCCCCCTGCTTCTGTCACGGTAGTACTGTCTCTCTGGACTCAGATCCCGCTCCAGACTCCTACCTCGACTGCGATCTCGACCGTAATCCCGGTCGCGGTCACGCCCTCGGCGTTCTGGGTATCTAGCCTGTTCCTTTTCTGGACTATGCTCATGAGGGTAGTCTGCATTGCTGCTCTGAGCGCTGTACATGCTGTGGTCGTCATAGTCGTAGTCTCGGTCATAGTCATAATCTTGATCATAGTCGCCAGGGTAGTCAGAGAGCCTCTCGTCGTGTGACTGGGAGCGCTTCAGTGCACTGGGTGCTGCTCTCTTGGGTCTCTTCACCACCTTTATGGGTCAGAAAGGCCGGCATTTAGGAATCAGTAGACACACAAGACGCAGGTCCGCTTAAAGACCAACATGGCAGATGTAGTTAAAAATAAACACAACACAGACCCAAATAAAAGATCAACAAATGACTGAAATGGGTTTTAAAAAAAAAAAACTCACAAATTTGGCCACTTTCCCACATTTTCGGAGTTGCTGCACAGCAAAGGAATGTGGCACATTCTCCATGGACAAGCCGTTAACCAGGATCACACGGTCATTCTCACTGCCAGGGCAACAGTTACACTGATGAGCATCACACCACTCACGTGATACTATGATATACCATCTTAACATATTACAGTGAAGCAGCAGAGTGCAGTGAGTTGGGTTATCATTGATGTCTGGGTGAGATGATACAGCCAGGGATTGCATGCCAGAGGTTTTATTCATTTTGCATTTTATTCGCTTTAGCAGACACTTCTATCCAAAGTGACGTGCAACTGAGAGTACAGTCAGCCAGTCCGTGGAGAAATTGCAGGTTAATGGCCTTGCTGAAGTGCTCAGTGGCGAAACGACAGCGAGCCAATAAAGAACGAATTACAGCTTTTCAAAAAGCGGATGGTTTCAATCAATCGACCTCAGGGCCCAACACGCTTGCGCTACACCGCTCTGCTCCACACTGCCTAAGGACAGGACACAAGCAGGCAACTCCCTCCAGGACGGCATTCTGAGGGGAGTTTAAAAGGGTTTCTCAACCAATGAAAGACAGTAAGGTGGCGGACCTACTGTCCCTTTACAGGAGTGGTGAATAGTGAGTGACGGAGGGCAGGTACATACAAAAGCAGTCCGTCGGCCGGACCCCCCTGCAGGACGTCAGACACGATGATGGACATCTCCCCGGTGTCCACTTTGGGATTGTCCCGGCCCCCGGTGACAGCAATTCCGAAGCCCCTCTTAGAGTCCTTTAATGGTGGGCAGAGAGTGAGAGATAGAGGGTGAGTCACACTGGGCAGAGGCATGAGATGCAGTGATTCACATGATAAGTGTCAATATTTGGCATTTGATGCAGTGTTGCACACAAGATGCACTGGATTTGTGTTCCAACAAAAAAGGTGCATTATGTTCATCACTCACCCTGTGCAGGGTGACAGTGAACTGCTCCCACACAATCTCCTCCATCGCTGGTGTTGAAAGGGAACAGATTTGTTCACTGCAGGGAGAGATTTCTCGTCAGGGACACACTGTATCTGCAGCCCATTCCAAGCAGGAGCTGTAACCTCCACCAACTTCAAATATAAGTATGACAAAAAGCACAAGGCAGACACACAGACCCTACTCTCCCAGACGGACTTCAGCACAGCTGGGAAACGGGTGCGAGGGAGACCAGCCAACAGATCTGGAAACTTAAGGGCCAGAAAGTACAAATCCAGACCAAAGTTTTGTTTCAACCAACCAATTGAGTACACTGTAACTGTGACTCTTTACACTCAGCTGGTTGGTTGAAACAAAACCTTGGTCTGGATTCGTACTGCATTCTGAGAACAGGGCTCCTTACAGCGGCTACTGCTCACAAACACAGAAAGAGCACAGAGTGAATGAAACCCCTCTGTCCCCAAGGACCTGAAGCCCCCTTCCTGCTCCAGAACACTGGAACTGGAAAAAGATCCCTGAAACCAAGCCTGAGGAACAGCGAGATGAGATACCCCGTGTCAGGCTTTCGGCCTACCCCAGAGGAGTCTGGCCCCTGAAGCAGGCCCCTCTAGCTGTGTGTGTAAGTGAATCCCACCACCTACACTGTGCAACACTGCACTGACCAAGCAGCTTGCTAGTGCTGCATATGTAGGCTGTGACACGGAGAAGCTGGAATGTGTGTGCAGACTGCGATGAGGGCCGGAATGACCACACACCCCCCATCTGGGCAGGAGAATCAGGATGCCTATATCGCAGCGCTCAGTTTGAGCTGGATTGGGCAGGGCCTGGGCGGGGAAAGGGGGGGCTGCAAGCTGCAGTAGAGTTTAATGGAGGGAGAAGTATAACTCAATGTCACTGTTAGGAGGCAATTCCTGTAGGTGGCCAGGACTCACGTAAGGAAACTTATGGTGGTTTGATTTAGCTCACGTTCTGCTGAAGTAGATGCTAGTGCACAATGTGCTCAATTAACCATCAACTGGATCAACAGCAGGCAGGTGACACTGTTTAAGGTCCCTGCTCTCCTATGATGCGCAGATCACCATGGACATTTCCAACCTTTCCATACCGGCTGTGAGAAGAAACCAGTGACTAAAACAGCAGGTGTAGAAACTAACAGTCATAGCGATACCTCATTCATCCCTGTGCAGATGGATTTATTATCAGTTGGTGAATTAATCAATTGGGACCAGGTATTTCTTTTTTGCAGCATCTGAAGTTAATAGAATAAATTATTTTTGTACAATAAAGTGCTGGAACTGGATTTTGTCCAATTCCACACTTGCAAGGAATGCAGAACACATCACCGTGCACGTGATTCATATCCCAAGCTGCACTGCTCAAAGAACGCATCACCGTGCATGTGATTCATGTCCCAAGCTGCACTGCTCAAAGAACGCATCACCGTGCATGTGATTCATGTCCCAAGCTGCACTGCTCAAAGAACGCATCACCGTGCATGTGATTCATGTCCCAAGCTGCAATGCTCTAAGAACACATCACCGTGCATGTGATTCATGTCCCGAGCTGCACTGCTCTAAGAACGCATCACCGTGCATGTGATTCATGTCCCGAGCTGCACTGCTCTAAGAACACATCACCGTGCATGTGATACATGTCCCAAGCTGCACTGCTCTAAGAACACATCACCGTGCATGTGCTTCATGTCCCAGGCTGCACTGCTCTAAGAACACACTACAGATCCTGTTCTCTGTTCATGTTCAATGACAGCATGCAGTGGTCACACCACAAAGGTGTATGTGCTCCTCTGGGCTGTAGTAATGGTGCTGGCCCCTCACTGTCACCAAAGCAACCAGAAAATTGCCGTTACCTCCTCAAAGTAAATACGTACATCAAGGAAGCACAGTCGATCAGAATTTCAGTGGTTCTGGGACCTGTTACTTCTGCAAAAATTTTTATCAGCAGCATGAAAATAATCCATGACCGTAATAAGGTACTAATAACAGGGTTATTCCTGTCTGCCTGATAAAAACACAAAGATATTGAAGATCTTTAAAGTTTTGGGGAACATACGTTTAATGAGTAAATAGAACAAGCTGCTCATTGACCATATCTGGGCCAAATCCAAATTAAATTTAAAGAAGATGTAGGGATCCCGAAGACAGACGCCGAATGGCAGCAACTCAAACAGAAATCTCTGGTCCAATGGTCCAGCAGCACAGACAAACAGGGGCGTGGCCAACAGCTCCATGCAGCACAATGACGGCACGACGCCAGAAACAGACCTCATCCTACACCATCATCCCTAACAGCCCTTGGCTCAACACTTGGCAGTAACACTGAAATAAAACTAAGTGTTGGAGATACTTAAAGGAGGGCACTTTCCTGGGGAGGTGCAGTCACACCTCCTGAGCGAGCAGCTTAACCCCTCTGCTAGTCACCACGTCTAGGTTAAGAACAGCTGAAGTGTTACTTTCAAACTAACTATTCTCATTTCATCCAGCAAGCTGCTCACTACATATGAAAGATGGGTGGGTGTCTTTATTTTGGAGTCTTATGTTCCATCCAGTTTGACGAGTTCTAATATACTTCATTGATAGTATGATTAAAAGGTTTATTGGTCCAGGCTGCATGCACCTCCATCATTCTCTTCTCAGCCCAGTACCTTCACTAAAGACAAGCAGTGCACAGTGAATATGAAACCGAACACAGAGTAAAATGCTATACAGTAAATCAAACATAACCAATAAAAATCAGCACTTTTCAGTTTAAAAATCCAAAAATAGGGATGATTAAATTGTCCATAGGTGTGAATGGTGGGCCTGTGTGTTTTTACCTGTCAGTTTATGCATGTCTCTGCATGTGTGCCCTGTGATGGGTTGGTGCCCCATCCTGGGTTGTTCCCTGCCCTGTGCCTGTAGCCTCCGGGATAGGCTCCGGACCACTGCGGGACACTGGCGTGCTCAGGTACCAGTCATGCTCAGTCAGTGTTTTATTCAGTCAGGCCACAGCCAGGCCGCTAGGCACAGGCCAGTCAAAGTAACTATGGCAATTCAAAATCATTGTATTTCAAGGGTTCCTCTTTCTCTCTATGGTAATAAAGGCATGGCTTTCCTTTTTACTAAATACCTAGAAAAATCATTGGTCACATTCCGTACTTCCCGATTAAATAAGGTGAGCTTAATGTGCCGTAAGCACACAACTCGGTTTTTCTCAGTTCTGTTGTGATGAATAATACATTAATCACTTTTACGGTTAATCTCACTGATCCTTGCTTTCGCGTTTGTTTTCATTTGGCTTTGCAATGAATTTAGTCAGTATGTGGGAAATACGGCCATTAACACACACACACACACATATATGTATACTGTATGTATATATATATATCAGTCACAATCCACAGGCCTAGGTAAACTTTTAATAGCCACGACTGAAACGTTTCTTTTTGTACCAGCGGTTTGTGACCCGCCGACAAAGTGACCAGTTTCTTGTCGCGGAGGTGAACAAAGTGTATGAGCGCGTCCAGTTCGCCTCGTTTTCCTTGTTGTTCCGCGCTTGCTTTTCTTATTACAGAAAACTACATTATTTATGAAAACAAATCACAAGTAGCCCATGATTTATTGCGTTTCGCCTACGCGTTACATTATAGCGAGAAAAGTTTAAAAGACATACCGGACAGGCGCTAAGAGCCGCAGGTTCCCTCGGACCGCACCCGGGCCAGGAGCCGCACTTCCCGCGAAATGGCAGCGCCGAGTCCCAGCGGGGCGCAGCCCAGGTTCCCGGAAGCTCGCAGGTGTGTGTAGGTGCGACTGCGGCTCCGGGCGACGCTGTTTGCCTGCGGTGTTTCACACGTTACCCTGTGAGTAAACGTTGATCACCCTTATTGTGTCCGGTTGGTACATTTAACAGCTTCTGAAATACTTTGCAGGGGGGCTACAACAATATTTATATTAAAAAAAGAAAAAAGGAAAGAAAAAAAAACAGAACAAAAGACGATCGCACAGGTAGGACAAATAGTTTCGTGTCAACAGGCCTAATTGCAGTTGATTAAATTTCACGGTTATGTGTATCGTGCGTTTATATTATGAATCTATTTATATTCTTTTTTTAAACACAGTAGAGAAGATCAGCGGGAGGAGCCGACCTAAGCCGGCTGGACTGGTTTCTGCTTGTGGAGCCCGGGGCAGCGTCCAACAAGCCCGAACTCATCTGCTGCTACGGTGCTCAGATACCGGTCCTGCTGCCAGCGGGAGGCGTTTGCAAAATGATATGTGACGAATCCCTACAGTTACTTAATTTTGTTTCTGGACATGGCTATTTTGTCCCTGTGGTACACACACACACACACACACAAACACGGAGAGAGCGAGAGAAGGAGAAGGATTTGAAATGCCTAATGTTTTCTCAACTTTCTTGCACAATCAACCATTTCTAATCGTCGTTATCGCACACCAGAGGTGTAGGGGTGGTTAAATGCATGTATATGGTCTGTACCCACCTAAAAATTGTATGTAGTGTAACAGGATACCATCCTACCTACCACCACACTCAGCATAAACACTCATGTTTGCAAACGTGGTCCTGTATCAAATCTGATCGGAATGAAGATTAGTGGTATCATAACATGGTTTCGTAACATGTTTGTGAAGTTTTTGAAAAGATCTGACAGACACGATGCATCATTCTTCTGACTGCTCCACTCTCGGTTACTGCTAATTGAAATACTGTGAAGTAAACTGTGCAAATAAAATACTGCATTTTCCAAATGAAGAAGTATCTATGTGACCTGTTCTGATTTAGTTAATCCTTTTCACCTCACTTTGAGCAGAAGTTTGCTGGTCCTCTCATTCAGTCAGATGTCAGTGTGCGACTCCCCAGAAAACAAACCACCAGTTTACCTGAATGACCAATAGAATCAGTGTGTTTTGCACCAGGAGTGTTGGAGGGCTGATTTGTTGTGTTGCGGTTACTGGTTCAATTCCCATGGGGGTGACAGAGTGATTTTTCATCATTATACTCTTGAGCAAGGCCTTAACCCCAATTGCTGTAACAATTTGTAGAATTACCGGATGGATAAACTGCAAATGTAAAACCCAATAACTAACTATGAAACTACACCTATTCATTTATTGTACATTCAACTTACACTAGTAAACAAACAAAAAGTTATTATATTAGCATTTTAACGTTTGGAATAAACATATAGGCCTAGTTATAACACTTGACTAGTTAAGATGAGCATACATAGAAATGGGAAAGGATCTTACAAATAAATGACACTGATGCATTCCCTGGACAGCTTCTCGCTCCTATCTAATCCTTACTCACCCACACCTCCAACCTCTTCCCCCCCCCCCCCCCCCTACAGTAGGCGTACATGATATCCAATTTTTCATATTGTTATCCTTCAGGAGATCTAAAATATTATTGCAACATTGCCTAAGCCAACCATTCACACTCTACCCACCTATCCAAAAAATCTTTAATAAAAGCCCAACTTTGTGTGATTTGTCTCAATGTACACTGTCAGGAAAAAAAAAGAGTTCAAATTTTTACCATTCCTTGTCACTGGGGCTGTACCCTCAAGGGCGAGCTAATTGTACGCTGCAGCTGTAGGTAAATGTACCTCGTAAGATTGCGAATTTCAGAAAAAATCTGTCAAAAATCTTTTGGGTTATTTCGCTAAGAGGATCAAGTGTCTGAAACTGCCCTTTTCTGTGATATCACTATGCAGCACTGCTTCAATTATGGTGCACTCTGTCTCAAATTTTAATCAGTTTCATTTTTTATTTTTTTGATAATACATGGTTCAATCCATGAATACACATATTCTGGATTTAATGTTAACTTACTACTTGCTTAATGGCATACTGGTCTAACGAACACCACTTTGATATGCTGAATATTATTCATATGAACATACTGCCAATTTAGACGTGCTTATTCTCGTATTTGTATAAGAACATTCCAAATAACAGATCTCATTTACACAATGATAGCTAATAACGGAGTGGATCATGTTGGCTGCATCATTTTGCAGGTGTTGAGTGTGCGAGGGCGGGGTTCTGGCTTCACACTGCAGTATAAAACAGACAGCATGGACGCTGGAGAGTCCGGGCATTTTAGGAGTTTGAGCATTGGTGAGCGGTCCGTGTTGAAGATGCTGACAGCCGCTCTGACACGCTCATAGAGGCGGGGTGCTGAGGTGTTGTACTGCGGTCCAGCCAAATCGACAGGTTTTACATAACTGCAAAATGATGCGAGTCATTGACGAGGCAGCCGTGCTTCGCGACACCGACTTTGGGCGCGCCAGGGCTCCCCGCTTTCATAATGAGCCTTCAGACAGCGATGCTGACGCCCTCGGTTTGCCCCGCGAGTCCCAGCCGAGGAAGGCGGCCGGCAAGAGAGACTCCAAGCGGGAGGGGCACGGCGGAGGGCATTCACTCACGGCAAATGCCAGCGGTAAAACCGAACTGATTATACCTGTGCTTTTGTTCCGTAATGCTGCTGTTGGTATAGGCGTTTCGTGGGATAGATATCTTACGGGGTACACAGCATTTCACATAGCGGTGACAAGTTTGTACCGCCCCTTTGCATCCAAATGATATCGTGGAGTCACTAGTACACCCGCTTCCCGTGAGATTAGACCCGCCTCCCTATTTTCATTGGCTCTGCCTCCCTGATGTCATATCTGACGGGATTTCAGTGATGTCGATCATCTGACGTATGCAAGTTTCCTCAAACGCGCTCATATAGCGCCGTTTTCCAAGAACTGCCTGGATCCGTGCCTGTGCAAACAAGTCCCACTGCGTAGATAGAGGTCGAAGTACAACACCCTGCGTTAGCACCCACCTCCTTAGCCGTAGGTGAAACCACGGGCAAATCTTCCGCAAGGGCTTTTACAGCCTCGTGGAAATGTTGCATTCTTCCTAACTAAACGTTCTTTCCCTTGGAGGCATAAAACGCATCTAAAACTTTGACTTAATTCCAGACAAGTATGCACACGCATTTACATGTATGTATCAGTTGATTACCTTGTAAATACTCTTTATAGGGTTTGCAAACTACCCCAAAGCATTTGATGTAGCTAATTATAGGTTTGCAATGGCATAATATGAATTTGCCCTAAGATTTCTTGGGACTTGCCAACCCTGCTATGGTATGACTCAAGTGATTTGGGTTCACCGGGCTGTTTATCATCGGCCTCTACTTTTAAAGCTGATTCCTGCCCATTGCACTGTGTGCATACTAACTGAAGTGCCCAGTGTACTGGAAACGTAAATCCAGGGATCAGGCTTACTTTTTAGTGCCCCAGTCTGGTTTATTGCTGCTAGCTGCCAGGATAGCCTCCACACCCTATGTAGCACTAATGGGTTCGCAAAATGGGTGGATTTTGTTTTAGGCAAGGATTAGCAGAATAGTTATTTGACAATTACATGAACAATGCAGGGCCATAATTGTGTATTTAATTGTGTTTCCAGTACACTGGGCACTTCAGTTCAGTTAGTTTCCTAGATTTAAGAAAATATGGTATAGTTCTAGTTGCTGGCATGGCATGAAAAATGACCAAAACATTTATTTTGTGCACTTCGTAAATTTGGTGACCCATCTTGTTTTCTCTTGGAATTTATGCCATAAAATCTACCCCTTGATCTGGATTACGTAATGCTCTTCTGAACCCAGAGCTGTGGGCACTGTCTTCTGTGTGACTGGCTTGCAGTTGGCATTCAGGTGGCTCTTGTCTGTCTTAATGTTGTTGAAAACCAAAATTTGTTTCCTGTTTAGGAGCCCAACAGCGAGAGGAGAGATGTGTGTCATTCCAGACCCATCAAGTCCCTGTAAACAAGGCATCTCTGGAGCTCTCTGCAGAAAAGTGAGATATGTGTCTTACCTCAAGTTGGCTGTGTGTTTTGGAGCTTGCCTACAGGTTCCTAGATTGCTGAGGTGTCACCTGTCAAATGCTGACCTCTAATTCAGAAATCAGCAGAGGGACCAAGGTGGCTGGGGATGTGGGGGCAGTCGGGTGGGAAGAGATCGTGGGGGTAGGCTAGGAGGCCCCCCCCGCAGCACCGATGGCTTTGATCAGCGAGGCAAAAGGGAGTTTGACCGCCACAGTGGGAGCGACCGAGCGTGAGTCACTTTTTGCACTGTCAGGCTGTCGGGTCTGTCTGGTCAGCTCTTCAGGTTAATGACAGCAGGACTGTAGCTCTTTGGCTTGGTCAGAATTATGTTTGCATATTGAGTGTCTGCAGCACGACTTAACCAGGGCTTATCTGAAACGAGTTCCATTAGCCAGCTTATGTGCTTGGTCTCCTAACACTGCTGATCATGGTGTGGCATGCTAGCATTCGGTCTCCTGTAGTTGTACTGCAACATGTTTAGGAGTGTCAGACCAGAGGAAAAGAGAGGAGGGACTGGATCTTGGAACTGGGGTTCCGTGAAGGACCCAATGAGGTAAGAGCACAGGATTATGGGCTGCCCATACACACACTGAGGCTTCCTATGCTCACACTCTGAATGGAACCTGCCGATTCCCCTGCGATCAGTGGCATTACTTTTATTTAATGCCTAGGGCCCTTACAGATGCAGCTGCTGGTGAGGAAGTGGCCCTGAATGCTTTGGAGGAAGAGGAGAAATGGTGGGTGTCCTGTCCATGCTCATGGATGTATAGCAACAGGCAGGGTTGGCTTATAGCCTCATTTTACCCCCCCCCCCTTCCTCATAGTACCATGGAGCTTGAGATTCCAGTGGATGAGGGTGCAGTGGAGATTTCCTTGGATGAGTGGAAAGCCCTGCAAAAGCAGAGTAGACCAAAGCAGCAGTTGCAACTGCGAAAGGCAGATACTGGTGTTCCTGTAAAAGCCATTGTCATCCACAAGTCCAGACAGCTTGAGGTAAGCTGTACCATCAGTGGGGCTCAGCGTAATTGATGCTTGATGTACTCGTATATGCACCCCTACCCGGGTCAGGGCCTGAGCAGTGGTGTCTCTGAGGAAGAGGATGGGACTCCTCCCCCTCGTCGTGCTGCCAACATCACCTCCCAGATAGATATCAACTTCGGCTGTTTGGTTGGGTGTGGTCATGGTGGCTCTGTCCCTCGGCTTGATGAAAATCCTCCGTTGCCACCAGAAACGGTATGAACCCCTGCAAAGGTTGAATACATCACACAAGATTCAGATATTTGGGTTATGAGAACTCCTCCCCTTCATGGGTGGTCCTGTTGGATCAGTGTTTCCCAGTCCGGTCCTTGGGGATCCACAGATGGTCCATGTAGATGTTTGAGGACTGGATTGGGAAATGCTGTAAGATTGATCCATGTCTTACGCTTTATTGGTTCTCATTGACCCAGGTTGTGGCACCAAATCCTGGAGACCCAGAGGACTTTCCTGCATTGGCTTGAACCTGAAGTGCTCCAGAAATGTTTTGTGCTGACCCATTTGTGGGGGTGGGGGGGGGGGTTGCCTTATGTATTCTTCAAATCTAATAAATATGCAGTATTTGTATCTAGCTTCTGCAGTTATACTGGTGAAAAGCATGAAAATGGATGTTTTTGCTTTGTTTATATATTTTGTAGCACATCTTCTACACTAGATGGCAGTTGCCTCTCATTTTATGCATGTAGCTCAGTACATCTCCCCTAAGGGTCTGGGTAGGAAGTTTTGTGAGGGTAATGCACATCTGTATCACAATATTATGGTAATGACTAATGCATGGCAATTAAGCATTAATTCGATATCAGTCCTATACTGATCAAAACTATATCAAT